GTCATAAGACAAGCTATAAAGACACCGTACAGTCAACAATAAAATAAACAGAAGATAAAAGACAGCATAAATAAAAAAATTCCAAATTCACCTTGAGACACACATTGTGTCTCATTATCATCACGAAAAAATCACACGTCATATTGCTTTTAAAATCGATGAATGAAAATTGCTGAATGTAGAAATTTTTGCAGAACAATTCAATCGAATTCACATTTAATAATGGAATGTATAAAAAATATAAAAAATTCGAAACTTCCTGGCCATTACATGTTCATGAATCATGAAGTTCTTTTTCTTTCTTAAGAAAAAAATAAAATCTATTGAAAACATTTCATTGTCGATTGTCAAATGAAATTCGTGGCATTGTGCACGCCCATTTTTGAAGGAATAAGAAATTGATTTTAAAATTTGTTGGATATTAGCGAAGTTTTGCAAGATTTCTGTTGGAGAATGAGTTATTGATCTTATTTCTGCTGTCATATTGAGGTGACTTTTTGAGAATATTGATGGTCAAATGAAGTTTCTCTGAATTTTTAGGAGGTTGATTAAGGGATCGTTCACTTATGACGTCCAAAAATAACGGTCATTTTTCAAAAGAGAACAATGGATTTCCAGGAATTTCTATTATTTTTTTATTGCTGACCCCCCCCCCCACCCTGGACGTCATAAGTGAACGGCCCGTAACTAATCACGCACAAAATTCAAAGACAGAAAGTCTAAAGCTTCTTAACTTATGACTGAACAAATAAAAAACTCATATCAAACAAAACGTACAGCTACGCCACAATGACAACAGCTTGTTGTATCCCTTTCAATGAGTTTTACGGAAAAAATGACTCTAATCATACCAAATTGAGACAGACTTAATTAACATACCAGAACGCACTAAACCACATTCACTTCATTTTAAAACTTCAAATGTTTAATGTTTACGTACAGTCAAATTAAATTGCATAATTAAATGCAACCATTATTTTAACGCCTACACATCAATATGATCTATTTAAACTAAACTGGCGTGTGTCAAGATTGGCTAAAGTGGCGATTGATCAATTTTAATGTGTAAATTTATTTTCAGATATTTTGAAAAATTATGCATAATTAAGTGAATAAATACGAAATTCAATGTTAAATAAAATCGAGCAGAGTGTTAAAAATTGCAATGATTTTTGAAAAATGGTAAATGAGGTTTGTGTTTATGCTGTGTATTGAGAGAGAGAGAAAATACATGATTTTTTGACTTCCACGTGAACTGGGGATGTGAATTAATTTTTGTAAAGGAAACTGAACATACTTTCAGGCGTGTGCCTTGGTTTTGTTCGCACAAATCATACCAAAGGTATCCAAAAGCAAAAGTTAATTTCAACTGACGTCCGGTGACATCTCTGTACTTGAATCTTCACCGAGACTTGTCTAAAAAGTTATCGACCCCTCCCTTCTCCTTCCTCGTTTTTAAATTAACTTTAAAAGAATAAATAAAATTTTCAAAGAAGCTCAACCACCATCAACCAGGAAGATCACACCTCTAGGTCATAAGCCACATCATATTACACATTTATATCTGAATTCCTTTGAGCCTTTTGTTTAATGCCTTTAAGAGTTGAAAAATCACTCGAAATAAACAAAAACATAAACATGAAGGGAGATAGAGCTAGAAAAAGCATATTGCTGGTGCATTAAAAAGCCATAATCCAAGAGCCGAACGAGGTAATAATTAACATTCCAACTTCCAACTGCTTATATCACTTGCACCTTTTTCGACTTGCATTATATTTTTTTTTCTGTCTTCAAAACTAATTGAATATTTTCAGCTTGCCGCATGAACGTTAATGCTTCACATAAATTCATTATTGTAGAAAAAAAAAATCTTAAATAGAAGCTTCAGGTCTGTTAGTAAATGATTGTTAATATAAGGACTGTGATTTTATGGAACCTATTTATTATTAGCATAGCCATCAGAGGTCTGAAGAGGTCCAGACTCAATAAATTTCTTGTTAACTTTCTACTTCTTATTATTTCACAAAGCTATCATATCTTTAAGATTCTTTGGATTTCTATTCAGCTTTAGAACCCCTTCTATAGTCTACTAGTAGACATCACTTTTGAACGACGTCTTTAGAAGAAAAGAAATACATATTGACATTAGTTGAGAGATTTTGCAAGACTTTCTGACACTCTTCAACATCACCCATTTGCGAATATGTGGAATGAGGAGAAAAAGATGAATGAAAAAAATATGCTCATTACATTCCGTGCACACAAAACTCTCGTGTGTATGTTTGTGCTTAAAAGATTGATATGTGATGCTGTCACATACATACGTATTTATATAATATATTTGTGCTTTACTTTACTCGTCTCAAAATCGAGATATTACAATTTAAGACGATAAAGAATAAATCTTTGTCGTAGCATCTTTAAACTGTTGTGTGGATAAATAATAAATTTTCACAGAATTGCTCATGCTGGGAACGATAAGAGTCTCTTGAATTCGTACGATTTTAATGATGTGCTTTTTCTTCGAAATGAATGTTTATATTTCAGGAAGTTATAGAATATTAAAGTAATGTAATGTAGCATCTTTAGTATTTCACTTTAAGTTATTATTCAAGCATGAATATTTAAGGTGAAATATTTTACACGAAATTTTTCTTACATTTGTTATTGTTGAATTTTTATGGCATCTCTTGAATTGTTATACTTTAAATTGTAAGTGCTTTGAACTTTTTGGTACCTTCTATTGTTAATATTACTTTTTTGTATATGGGTAATTCCATGCTATAATTTTGCTATAAAATTTTCTTTAAATTGATTTTTTTCATACTTAGGTTTAAAAGTCCTGACAAAAGTTAATAAGATTTCCACAGAACATGTAAAAAGCCATTATGTATGTTATTTGACATTAAAATTTCATCTAAAGTGGTTGAATAGTCCAAGCATTTGATTCCATGAGCGTTACTTGGTAACATTTATTGCGTTACCAAGTAACGCTTATGGAATCAAATGTTTGGACTATTCAATCACTTTAGATGACATTTTAATGATAAATAACATACCTTATGGCTTTTTACACGTCCTGTGGAAATCTTATTAACTTTCGTAAAGCATTAATATGAAAAAAAATCAATTTTAAGTAAATTTTTTACAAAAATTTCTCATGGAATTACCCTTAAACTATAACGTATGCAGCTAAAAGTCTAAAAGCTATCTGTCTACAGCTAAAAGTCTACAAAAATAAGACTCATGTTCTGAATGAAAATAAAATCTCTTTCAAATCTCCGCAATACTACATTCATCTCTATTACACTGCAATTTATTTTAAGAATTTATTTTCTCCATCATTTTCTTTTGCATACTCGAGGCTACAAACTATTATGGTAAATATTTCATTCATTAAATCCTGTGACAATTTGCTTTGGTCTAATGAGGCTATTAAATCAGTATTATTTTATGACTTCGGGATGTCAATTAACCCTTAAGGTTACGAGCCTCAATTATTTTAAGAGCTGTTTCTGTGATGTAAGTTTGAGGAAAGTTGGAAGTGTATTTATATGCTGGGACTATGAATATTATTCGGTATTTAAGGTTTGTGTTGACAGCTTCATACGGTATCTATAGCTCTTTAGATCACTTTTAACACAGTGGGGTTAATGAAGTAAGTAAGAGCAGTCTAAAATAGTACGACAACAAGTGAGTAATAGACACAACTCTTATCCGACTATCCAAGCTTAATTTTTGAATTCAATCATTGAACATTCAAATCAAATTCTCCTCAAAATTCAATAAAATGCACCATGAATGCATGCATGAAGTTGAATAAACAAAATTGAAACTAGAATTGAAAAGTCAAGCGCAATTTAACCATAAACAATTTAAAGCGATTGAATACGCTGAACTTTCATTCATGAAAATAATTTATGAGAAAATCATTATTTTATGTAGCTCAGCTGTTTTTATTTTAGTCTCGTATAAATAAAAATCAATCGACTGAAATCCATCTTAATATCGATAATTTGAAATGAAATATTCATGGAATGAGAGAGTGTGGGGGTGGAATTGACTGCATTGACGGAGATTAATTTTTGATTATTTTTTTTTTCTCTGTCGATACCGAAACAAGCAATTTTGTGCAATGAATATCGAAAAAATTGAATTTGATACAATCATGATCTTCAGTCCAGAGGTGTTATTTTAAATGTATTGATTAGGCATGAAAGCATTGAATTGTAGGGAGATAAGGACGTGACCAGAAAGAGCATTATTTTTTGATTGAAACTCACTGAAATACTAATCCTTGCGATAGACGACTTACTAACTTTAGATGCCGCAGAACTTATAGCTTTTCTAGTTCAGACTACAACTTGTTAAGATCCTAAGATATCTAGTCAGAATCTTGACTACTCTTAGCTAGTAGGACCAGAAAAGCAACACTGACCATCACAAATTCAGCAGAAACATTTGATTGCTTTCTTTTATTCTTCTTTGTTCCTTTTATCGGAATCAAAATTGCGAGCATAATAATGCAAATAAAAGTGAAAATCACCTATTTTTATTTGAAAAACAAAATTTCTCCAATTTTGCATTTTTAATCTCCATTGTGCGTACCCGCTTTAATCCAATGTAAGCATCAAAGACATTCGTTACGAATGCACAAGTGTGATGAATAAATTGATGCAACTTTATGCTGTTGCTGAATGCATTTCAAGTTGTATTTAATTGTTTATAATTTTTACAAAACTTTCTTTCCGTTAATCAGAAGAATCAAATCGAAGTGTTTTAATTATTTTTTTTTTCTCAAGCTAGCTTTTTACGTGTGTGCAATTAGAAATGCACGTATTCAGTGGTGCCATGCCAACGCAATTCTCTATTGAAAATGCGGAATTTGCGCGATGTTTCCGCTGTTTTATGAACCCGAAAAAGTTTTTTTACGTGCTTTACAAAATTTTTAATTATCAGCTCGTACGTGTTAAGCTAAGAGTGATTATTCAATATGGATATGCTGTTAAAAAGTAATGTGTGAGCTTGTTTCCGATGAATTTTTTCCAGCTCATTTAACAAAATGTTAAAATAAAAAGTTATGTAATTTTATGGCGCGAAAATATTTTGTTTTAATTTGTATAATTTAATATTCCACGTCTACCTGCTCATCACTCTGTAAATCATCGTCTTGTGTATCAAAGTTTTCCGGTTCATCGTCTTGTAGTTCATCGTCTTGTAGTTCCTCTTTAAACAACATTGAACATTCTTCTTGACCCTCACTTACATTATGACTGACATACAATGGACTCAAATTCACAAGATCAAGTGCCAAGTGACTCGTCTTTTTGGATACTTTTAGTATCATTTTCTCTCTACCTGTCAGCTCCAGTTTATCAAAGCTTTTCACTGATTTACAAATTTGTATAAAGTCGTCAAAATCTTCACCTTCGTAGAATCCGCAATCTAATAACCCTTTTGGATGTTCTTCACAGACCTCGATAACTTTGTCGCGAATTTTTGCGGGAAAAATCATGCAAATATGAGGCGGTTCCGGTTCAATGATAGGTGGCAAAAAGCTCTCGAATTGCTAGATTGGAAATAATATTATGTTAGATCAGAAATGAAATTCTTGAGGTCGAAACCTTTCCTTTTTAAAACTTACTGCTCTGAAGAATTGATGCATGAATATAGCATTCCCAGACTGATTTGCTGGTGTCCAAACTGGTGGAATAGTGACAAGATCATCCTCGATAGTTTCAAAAAATCCTTCACTTTCAATCTCTTCATTAAGCTCTATCTGTGACAAAGATGATGACTTCTGCTCCTTTACTGAATCTCTTATGGACTGTTCTTTAACCGAAGGCTGTCTTATCGATTGTTCTTTAACTGAAGGCTGTCTTTTGCTAACTCGACTCAATTGACTTGATTTCTTTTTAGCCAGCATTACAGCTGAAGGTTGTAAACTATCCAGAGCCAATGTAGCTTCAGATTTGTCCTCAATCGTTATGGCAATAGATTCAGTGCTTACACGTTCACTTTCTTCATACTTAATTGGGTCAATTACTAATGAATCTAAAATTGTTTCCCACACACTTTCTTCTCCTTCAACTTCATATTCCACCGGTTCTGATACACGCTTGATAAACTCTTTAAGTACATCTGTGACAGGAGTACGTGGATCCATATACCAAAGGACTGCAAAAATATCTTTATAATAAATCTCCTCCAATATTCTCTCATCAATCGGATTTTCTAAATTGTAATTTAATGTCTCCATCATGTCAGGTGTAATTTGGATCATTTTACCAGCGCGATTTACGAGCGAGAGCCATTTTGCGGTCTCGAGTGTCTTTCTGAATGCATCTTTTGCTACATGTGGCATGAATAATGTAATTCCCATATCTGATGAATTTTTATTCATCAAATCAATAATTTCGTCGAGTTTTGAGAATTTTTCTGCTTGCGCTGCTTCATACTCGATACGAAGTCGTTCCTTATAAGTGTGTTTGTGGGAAACGTGATGAATATATTATCATTATATTGAATTTTATTATTACTTACTGCCTCTTCTGCTCGTTTTTGCTCAACCGCTTTCATCTCGAATGGCAGGTACTCATCGAAGTCATATCCTTGAAATATATGTCCTTCTTCATTTAGTTTAAAGTAATCCCCAAGTATGTTCTGAATTTGTGGAATTATTGCACCATATGAAATGAAGAGTACTTTCCGATCCTGTGGATTAATGATAATTTTGTGAGTTATTGATATGAAACGCATGCTCAGCATCAAATGCCGGTTTGGTACTCTCAATCCCTCCCAAACCAAACTACGATGAAAAAGAAGCTCCAGTGGTTTAATTTGGAAACAATATTTAGTTAAAGAGATTTTTTGTTCATTTTCAAGTTCCAGAGTATCAAACAGACACCTTCCTAGAATTTTTACATTCAAAGTCGAACGTCTGGTTATCAAGGTACAATAAATAATAGATTCTAGATTAAATTAGACAAACGTTAAGCATCGCTCCTTATAAAATGATCACCCACCCCAAAACCACCTTATTTCATGAATAATTTACTTTATCCTCAACATTAAGCTTCAACAATCGCCACAATTTACTTTTGTAGTTAATAGTCAATAAAAGCTGTAAATTTATCTATTACTCAACACCCCATTACCAAATTATTTGGTGGAAATCACTTTTTTATGGATAATGGACTTTCATCACAAAAGAAATTTTGTGAGACTTTTAAAGAGAATATAAACTTTCTTACATTGAGAATAGAATCAAATTCATGGGGTTACATCAGCCCGATTTGGATCTCATAAATCTCAGAAGAAGAAGAATTTACAATCAAGATTATCTCACAATAGTTTCAGCACTTTTTTTGTGATGAATGGGGTTTATTCACCTTTTATGTAGCGTAAGAATGCAAAATTTGTGATTCAGGTAGGAGCTAAGGCTACACGATATAAATATGTCAGAAAAATTCATATAAGGATCTTAAGTTTAGTCTTGTTGCTTAACTCTTAAAATTGAAAGGCAGTTCGATTTATAAACTAATGATGAAGGTTGTCTATCTCCTTACAGTTAATATTGAATCAATAAGGACCGTTAAAACAAAAAATGACAAGTAATTAACATTCAGCCAAGTCGTTTTAAGCCATGACGCCATGACCCAATAAAAGTGAGGGTCCTATAAAGGAACTAGATCAAGTTTGCTTTATCTAAGAATCCCATCCCAATCTCTCTGTTCCATGTCTGAAGTCTAAAAACTAATTGCTTTTAAATTTTCAATTCTACCTTTTGAAACATATTACTTATGAACATCCCATAAAAAGATATGGGATAAGAATGATAAAAACTTTCATTTTAAATTTTTATGAACGTAAAAAGTTCTTTTTTTCGTCTCCCTTATTTCAAAGTTGCGGAAAGCTTTTTTAACTCCAAATGGAATATTCTCTTATGATACGACTTTCAATCTGTAGATATGACACGGTACTTACTTTACAGAAAAGTATTGTTGGAAGACTTTTCGCTCGAAATCTTTTCAGTTTCTCAATTTTGTTTGCATTGCACGTCGCCAATTGAAGGGAATCGCTATCGCTGAGTGAAACCTAAAATGAAACAAATTTCATCAAATTATATTTCATGCTGAACATGTCTCATAATGTGATCAATTTAATTGCAAATATGAAGTGGATGAGGATGTGGAAAAATATCAATAAAGGTTTTGGTCATAATGAGATTTTTTGAAAGTTTCTTACCTTTTGTTGCTCCAATGTACTTTGTAGACTTACACATGGTCCATACATCTCTTCATAAACATCTAGCACTAATGACAAAAAGAAGAAGCTTTAGATTAAAGTGATAAATTTTTGATTTTCAACTTACCTAGCAGAACGTTTTGCTTTAAAAATTCTTCAAATTGCTCATCGGTTTGGATGTCAGTAAAGAATGAAATTTCTCGTTTCCTTGCCATTCTGTTATAATTATTAAAGGTGATAACAATCAATTTTGAAACCAAATGAAAAAGAAATTTTGTTGCACAGAAAATTTGTTATGAAAAGTTGAATGTGAAATTATGAAATGTTGCTATGATGATTTTTTTTCCCGTTTGATAACTTTTAATTGTAAATTTGTAATAGATCTGGAAGCTGATATTTCTGCGTGATATTTGAAGCTGATGCATTTGCATTTAGATAGAGTTGTAAAGAAATGTTTTAGCATCAGTTGATTTAATTGTAGTCTGTTCTTCTTCCATCATTACGTCTATATGATCACCACTCATTTCATTTGATGATGCTCATTGATTTGGCCCCGTTCTAAGATTAAAACTCGTTATCAGCATCTTGACGACGATTCATAACAACACAGGCACAACCTGTTTATAAAATAAAATTATTGATGACATTATGTCCATATTTTTCAAACAATTCGGACAACTCTTCATGCTGTACGAATTTTGATAAAATATTGCCAAAATGTAAGAAGTTTAAGTGGCAAAAAAAAAATTGAGCAGGACGGTGGGGCATTTTCTTCTTTCACAGTTGTAAAAATTAAAATAAACCAGTCAAAAAGGATGACTGGTTTTAAAAATGTTAATGAAAAAAAAAATACAACTTACAATAAAAAATATACTCGATCTCCCTGCTTTATATCCAGTTATCCATTTTGATTGCTTTCTTAATCCATTTTGCGTTGCTTCTCACGTTTATGCTCTTCTGTTCGATGATGATGTCCACTTCTGTTCCTATAAAAATATTAATCGCAGCCTAAAATAAAGATTTGCATGCCATTAGTATGATTGCAACTCAACATTAATTAATATCTTTCTTACCGTCTCTTGTTCCATTATTAAAAAATGGATGAAAAATCGCCACGTTGTAAGTTGGATTTGAATTATTTTTCCTAATTTTTTGATTCTGCATGAAATGTGAGATGCATTTGCTTGCATCTTGGATAGAATTGACATTTTGTTTTTGCTGTTCTTCTTCCATTTCTATGTCCATTTGATAACGATCCCTTATATTTGATGAAGCTTGTTGAAACCTATTAACGGATTGAAATAAAGGTTGAGTAAATCTCTGTATTTAACAAACTTATCAAACAATTGTCCTTGTTGCAAAAATTTTGTAAAATGTTTGAAAAAAATGTTCAACTCTTAGGACCGAAAAAAAATTGGGCAGGACGGTGGGGCATTTTTATTTTTTACAGTTATAAAGCTGAAAAAAAACCAGTCAAAAAATTTTGCTGGTATAAATTAAATTTTTAAAAAGATTTGTCCAATACCCTGGTTGGACTCTCACGTTACTGCTCTTTCAAATGATGACAATATCCTCTCCTCCTGCTTAAAATATTTAAAATCCAGCCTTAAACATACAATTTCATGCCATTAGTATAATTGTCCTGGCACCTTCTCTTAATTCACCATTACTATTACGTCAATTAGTTCTGCTACCTCAGCTATTTGATCCTTTCTCTTCTAAGTCTAGAAAAATCGCAATCTTGTTATTGTTGTTTAATTTGTACTCTGCATAAAATTCTATGCTGATGTATTTGATTGCATCTTGGATAAAAATGTTGATAAATTGATGCTGCACCATTTTATTTTGTTGAATGCTGTACTCCTTCCATTTTAATGTCCATATGATCACCACCTTTTTTATTTGATGATTCTTGTTAATTTGGCATCGTTCTTAGATAAAAACTCATTAACAGCATCTTGACGACGATTCATAACAATAAAAGCAACCTGTTATTAAAATAAAATTGCTAATGATACTTTGTCCATATTTATCAAACAATTCGGACAATTCTTCTTGCTGTACTAATTTTGATAAAAGATTGCCAGAATGTAAGAACTGTGAGTGCCGAAAAAAAAATTGGGTAGGACGGTGGGGCATTTTCTTCTTTCACAGTTGTAAAAATTAAAATAAACCAGTCAAAAAGGATCACTGGTTTTAAAAATGTTAATGAAAAAAAAATACAACTTACAATAAAAATTATACTCCATCTCCCTCTGCTTTATATCCGGTTATCCATTTTGATTGCTTTCTTAATCCATTTTGCGTTGCTTCTCACGTTTATGCTCTTCTGTTCAATTCAATTCAATTCAATTCAAGTTTATTAAACCATAACCGGTTGTAAATATCATAGAGAACAAATAAAAATAAAAAAAAAAAAATAATAATTATTGCATAGTTCCAAAAAGAGATTCAATCTAAAAAAAAAAATAATTAATTATTATTTCATAAATTCAGAGATTTAAGTATTTCATTAGAACTGATGATTGATTTCAAAAATAAGAGTTGATTGGCTTAGTTTCTTTGCCCAGATCTAACTTTCGAGGCTGACACAGAGGATGACGTATTAAATCGAGCAGTGATTCTTAAATTTCTATAGGAGCTTGTGATTGTATGTGGATCAGTTGATTCGAGTAGGCGCCGGGGATTTATTCTCGGTCCAAGTCTATCGAAGATAGATGTGCTGATAGAAGCTGATGATGATGAGGGAGCAAAGTTGATACGGCCAGTTGGATTAGTCAAAGTCACAGATTTTGGACTTTTTCTCCTGATTGCCAGAGCTTGCTCATTACAATTGCAGATCAAAACATCCATCTCAGTCAAGGCTGTCCAAAACTGCTTTGCGTTCAGAGAGCTGTTTATAGCTTTGGAGTATTTGCAGGTCTGAATCTCCGGAATAAAATGAAGTGTTGAGGGACAGAAAGTCAATGAGCCGAATACTAAGCTTAAAGACCTGATTAAACTGTCTGTCATATGCTGAGTCTTAACTATAAAACGAACTGACAGTTCCGTTAGAGATGAATTTTCAACTCTGACTCCCTCGATTTTCTCAAATTTCACTCCATTTGTAAGTTCATTGACGATCTTTTGGATTACTAATTCGGAATTCTCTCTAATACAGTTCGCTTTCAGATTTATGATATTTCCATTACAGAGACCGTATGGATAATGAGAGGATTGGCAGTCGATTAGTTTATCATTGATATAAGGCACAACAATCATATAAATTATCTCATTCATCAAGACAATGCTAAACTTCCCAAAAGCATTGCTTAAAATTCCTTTTTTTGCTTTGTCACTTAAAATACGAGAATTGTTACGAGCTCCGACCAGTGTTGCTAGCCAGTTTTCAAGAAAACTGGTTAGCAGGACTTCGATGAGACACGTATGTTCTCCTTTAATGTAAAAACCTTTAATAACTATATTTTTTTCACTCAATAGCTTATGTATTGATCCAATGAAGGAACTTATTTTACTCTCATTTTTGTTAATAAATTTGAGTATTACAATGTCTGATTTTACTTGCTTAGAGTCATCTACTAGGTCAAGAAGCTCTTCATTGCTTGCACAGATTTGTAATACGTCCTCATCATTACTTAAAGTTGCCATTTTTAGCCGAATAAGTTTCTGTTAAATATTTTGATAGCGAAGAGAAATTAATATAATATGACCAAGTGTCAAACAATTGGGTTAAATCTACCAGACAGGGCAATAAACTATGATTGTAGACATTTTTTTTTTTGTAGACTTGTAATTGTTTGTAAACAAACAATAAAAATAAGTAAATAATTTTCAAAGTTAATTCAAAGTGGAATCAAATAAAGAAGTTCTTGGAACTAAACTGGCTAGGCTTAACCAGTGACTCATTTCGACTTAGCAGAAACTGCTTAACATCCTTCTTGAAAATAAAGAAAAGATTCACGGCTTTAATGTCATTAGGAAGTTGATTGAAGAGTTTACATCCAGAATGAGTTATATCATTAATCAATACCTTTTTTTTAGCAGAAGCCAGCATTAAATCGATCCTTCTTAAGCTTCTAAGCCTATTTATCCTCGGCAATGAGCCATCATATGTAATAATACACTTTTTTGTCATGATGATTGAAGAATAATAAATTAATCCAGAAACAGGTAATATGTATTTCGCTTCCTTTTTAAATAATTCAGTTGTTGAATGCATATCCGGCAAACCAAAAATAATTTTTAATGCTTTATTTTGCAGCCTTTGTAGTCTCTCTATGTCTATTGATCTGCAACGCAAAAGAACGAATCCAGCAAAGTTGATATGAGACTGAATGTGAGCATGGAAGAATTTTATCAGTGCATCCTGTGATAAAACTGTTTTAAGATAACGGAGATGCATTTGCTTGCATCTTGGATAGAATTGACATTTTGTTTTTGCTGTTCTTCTTCCATTTCTATGTCCATTTGATAACGATCCCTTATATTTGATGAAGCTTGTTGAAACCTATTAACGGATTGAAATAAAGGTTGAGTAAATCTCTGTATTTAACAAACTTATCAAACAATTGTCCTTGTTGCAAAAATTTTGTAAAATGTTTGAAAAAAATGTTCAACTCTTAGGACCGAAAAAAAATTGGGCAGGACGGTGGGGCATTTTTATTTTTTACAGTTATAAAGCTGAAAAAAAACCAGTCAAAAAATTTTGCTGGTATAAATTAAATTTTTAAAAAGATTTGTCCAATACCCTGGTTGGACTCTCACGTTACTGCTCTTTCAAATGATGACAATATCCTCTCCTCCTGCTTAAAATATTTAAAATCCAGCCTTAAACATACAATTTCATGCCATTAGTATAATTGTCCTGGCACCTTCTCTTAATTCACCATTACTATTACGTCAATTAGTTCTGCTACCTCAGCTATTTGATCCTTTCTCTTCTAAGTCTAGAAAAATCGCAATCTTGTTATTGTTGTTTAATTTGTACTCTGCATAAAATTCTATGCTGATGTATTTGATTGCATCTTGGATAAAAATGTTGATAAATTGATGCTGCACCATTTTATTTTGTTGAATGCTGTACTCCTTCCATTTTAATGTCCATATGATCACCACCTTTTTTATTTGATGATTCTTGTTAATTTGGCATCGTTCTTAGATAAAAACTCATTAACAGCATCTTGACGACGATTCATAACAATAAAAGCAACCTGTTATTAAAATAAAATTGCTAATGATACTTTGTCCATATTTATCAAACAATTCGGACAATTCTTCTTGCTGTACTAATTTTGATAAAAGATTGCCAGAATGTAAGAACTGTGAGTGCCGAAAAAAAAATTGGGTAGGACGGTGGGGCATTTTCTTCTTTCACAGTTGTAAAAATTAAAATAAACCAGTCAAAAAGGATCACTGGTTTTAAAAATGTTAATGAAAAAAAAATACAACTTACAATAAAAATTATACTCCATCTCCCTCTGCACTATGGGCCAGAAATGGAAAATTTTTCCAAAAATTATTTCTACAGCTTATATGATAGTCCTTATTCTGCCCTACATTTACGTTCTTAAAACTTTGCCCAAGTCGACAGCGTGTCCGAGATATGGCACTTCAAAGTTGGTCAGACGACCATTTTCACGTTACATTGAAAATGCTCTCACCAGTCACTGGATGGATGAATCTCCTTCAATTTTTTTTTGGTAATAGCTTTAAATAGTTCCTTCATTTTAAGGTATAAACAATTGCAAAAAACTTTGGAAAATTTTGTGAAAAACTTGATTTTTCTCAAAAACCACGTGTTCGTCATACTTCCGTTTGTGTAGGTCTTCACAAGCACAACCAAAGTTACTAATTTCTTTTTTATATTAAAGATTACATCAAAAGCTATAACTTTTGCATACATGTCGTATAATTTTAACAAAGTTTTGGTAGTGAAAAAAATTTTTTTTATAAAAAAAACACCAATTTTTTGACAAAAATCGCTGTAGTGCTCCAGGGATACCCATGGTAGTGGAATTTTATTTCACATTTAGAAAGCTCTCTGGATATGCTATCAATTAATGCAGTAAAATGAACAAGTGTTCTCTTGGCAAAGAGCACTTTTTTGACTCTGAAAGTCGTATGTCGAGCAAGGTCAAAAAAGAAAAATAATCATAAAAATTTCAGTTTTAAGTAAAATTTAATTTTTTTAAGTTAGATTGATAGATCTTTTTAAAACGCGTCTTTTGAGTATAAATATGTCATAGTTTTGTCAAGTTTCATGATCAGTTTTTTAAAAAAATAGTTTTTTTCAAAAAAAAACTTGAAAAATAAAGTATTTGACTTTAGAATTTCATAAAATGCATTCTTTTTAACATTTTTTTCACTATTTTGTCTAGTTTTGCTCCTCGTTTTTTCCTAAACATAAATCAATAAGAACTTAACATAATTGAAGCCATTTGGAGGTTAAATTGAGTTAAAAATCGTTTAAAATTTTTGTATTTCTTAAATAGTTCTTTACACAAGTATCTAAGATATAAAGTGTTGCATAGTTTTGAAAAGGTATTAAAATTTCCAATATGTTAACATGAAAATTTTAGGAAAATTTTCAAGTAATATAGTCAATTTGGGTAAAAGACGCATTTTATATATGCTAGTTTTTAATGTTTTTCGTTTTTCTCAGCAAAGACTTTATGAAAAACTCTCAAAGTTTGCACACTTATTTGTTATATAAATGTTAATGACTCGTATAAGTTTTGGAATTTTCTATTGAGTTTTTCATGAGTTCTCCAAATCTGAAATTTTCAATATTAAAAATCCTTTTTTCTCAATAATTCCGATTTTTTATTTATAAATAAATATCTTATTTTGTTTCATTTTTCAATATCTTTTCATTGATATGTAACAATCTACGAAAAAAATAAGACTAGCGAGAAATCAATAAAAAAAGTGTCAAAAATTTATGAAAATTCTACGCTATTTTAATTTTTTAGCATTTTCTGGTTAATTTTATTAAGTTTTGTAAGAGTGTTATACCTTTTTGCAAATTTATAGCTTAAGACTTTCATCTGCTTTCATCCATTAAAATTCGTATGAGTCAACGATAAGCACAACTGAAGTTAAATAAGCTTCACGTTGGCGCAACCAAAAATTTTGAATTTTTTAAAATCAAATTATTTAAAAGCTTTAAATTAAATCTTCAGGCTGCTATTAAATACATGAAACATTTATAACAAAACTAAATGAAAAAGTTTAATATTATAGCTCAAATAGCATTAAAATTAATATCTGGTTTTCTTCATATGGAACTGTCTTTTGTCCCCAACGTGAAGCTTATTTGACTTCAGTTGTGCTTATCGTAAACTCATACGAATTTTAGTGGATGAAAGCAGATGAAAGTCTTAAGCTATAAATTTGCAAAAAGGTATAACACTCTTGCAAAACTTAATAAAATTAACCAGAAAAGGATAAAAAATTAAAATAGCGTAGAATTTTCATAAATTTTTGACACTTTTTTTATTGATTTCTCGCTAGTCTTATTTTTTTCGTAGATTGTTACATATCAATGAAAAGATATTGTAAAATGAAACAAAATAAGATATTTATTTATAAATAAAAAATCGAAATTATTGAGAAAAATGAATTTTTAACAGAGTTTGAAAATAAAATGAAAATTGCTCTATTTTGAAAATAAATCAAAATGAAAATTATGAAAATTGCCAATTTTGATCAAAGCAATTTTGCAATTTTGTCAATTTCAGAAAATTGCAATTTTGGAAATTGTTTATTTTCCAAAATTGCAATTTTGGAAATTATCAATTTTCAATTTTGTGACGTCACAAAATTTCTTCGGGAATTTTTTATGAAAATTTTCATATGAATTGATGACTATATGCTTGAGACTTTCCTTGATTTTTAATCAAAACCATTATCAGCAATCATAGCAGCAAATGATGAAAATTAATAACGAATCATAAGTACTATGCTATATGAGATATCCCATATGGAACTGGTTATGTCCAACTGACTGGAACTGCCAAAAAAATTTTTATTTGTTTTCTATACTTTTTAGACACTTTCAGGCATGGGGTGGAACCAGGCACTTCCTCTACTTCCAGATTTGATTTTAGGTGCTAACTATACCAAGGAGGTTCCAAAAAATCAGGTTAGCAAAAAAGTTCGGAAAATTCAGCAGTTCCTCTCCCCTAATAAAATTTACATCGAACATGTTTTTCATACATTTTCAGAAATGAATTTTTTTTTTGATAATCATGTCTGTATGGTGATGCAGCATTGCTGATACTCAATTAACAAGATGATTTATTATTAAATAAAGGATCTGTTTTACTTTGATGTTTTTGCATTTTATTGCTTAATTTCCAGTTTTCTTGAATAATCGTGACAAATAGTTTTGAAAATTAAGTCTAGAAGTAACGGAAGTGCTTAGTTCAACTCCATGCCTTAAAAGTGTGTAAACCTTCATTAAAAGTGTTAAACATTTTAAAAATTTTTTTTGCAGTTCCAACCAGTTGGATACGACACAATGCATGTGAAATATCATAGATATTAATGTAATAATGTTTTGACATTCAAAAATTATGATTATGAGCATTATGAGTACCTTTAATTTAAAATAAACTTAAAGGAACAACGCATCAAACACGCAGGAATTAGCAAGTATTAAGTTAAAAACGAATATCAACATCCAGGAAATAAACTGTATCTTTTGTTTTTCTGAAGAAAAAATTCATTTAAAAAGAAGAAAAT